AAAAACTCCACAGAGAAGGCTGTCAGTTTTTCCTTACTTTAATTTTAATTTTGGGTTATTTTGAGCTCAGACACATTCCCCACAATTCCTTTAGATATCTCTCCTCACAATGATCACAGTCAGTGCCAAAGTCATTGTACTGGGAGTCTGCAGAGCAGCAAAATAATAATCCCACCATTTGCCCTAATTAAATGTCTGCCTTTGGTGGATATTTTTCCACTCCACTCACAGATGTGAAGGCCATCTGCACTGAGTTCTTCATGTTGGCTTTGACATAGCTGTCACAGTTTAAATGTGACCAAAAAATAAAAAAGTATTGAGTACAAATCTCTCAGAATTTTAAGTAAATCTCTGAAAAGACTGTTTTTAAATCCTTACTAATGTGGCTTCCACTCTTCTGTGTTTCCAGGCTCAAGGAAAGTGGGTTTCTCTTGCTTGCATAAAATCCTCACCCCAAGGAGGTGTGGATTTCTGTGTAGAAGGTAAGTCTAGAAGATGTAGGAAAAAAAATCAGTGTCACATAACAGAGGAGCAGGATCTTGGCTTGGGTGCTTCTTTCTCTGGACAAGTGTTAGGGATGAGCCTTGGATGTCCCAGCTCTGGATATAAATGTCACTGCCTCATGACCCATGGACCAGGGGAAATTGCCAGAGGAAGAAGCACCAGGTCAGAGGTGATCATATTTCTGAGCTTGTTTAAAATTACAGTGATATCAAATAAATTAATTCAGGATGGGGGTTTTTCCCTCAAAAAGGAACTTTTTTCATTGGATGCTTCTCTCCTGAAGGAAATGGGAAGGAGATGGGATCCAACAACCCCAGCTGTTACCATTAAAACCAATCCCTCCTTCGAGCTGAATGCAGGGGACAGCGATGATCCCACCCCTGATCTTTAGGTAAAGAAATTTCTACTGCACCCATGGCCATTGAGCCTGATGCACTCACAGGAGGCTCTGGACATTTTGAAGTCAGACTCCAGGTGAGGTGTGCCTTTGTGCTATTGAAACATCCCATTTTAAGTGTACTTCAAATACAGAAATGCTTCTTTTTTCCGATTAGTAAGTCTTAGAAAGAAATGGGGCAGTTGGAGATGGTTTAAAGTATAGCAGAAGGCTGAGGAAAAAACTTCCTTCTCCTGTCTTTGGTTACAAAGCACTAAAATTCATTTGACATTGTACCTCAGAGCCAAACCCTGCTATGTACATAAAAGGAGAAGGAGGAGGAGATAAAGATGAAGAAATATAATACCTCAAAGTGCTTTTTCTCTTAGGAACTCACTAAGGAGCTGTGAATAATATTTTTAAAAAAAAAAAATCTAAAAATTTTCCTTTCTACACTTAATGAATTCAGTCCTAGCTGCTTTCTTTACACCCCATGCTGTGCTGTAGATGGCTCAAATAGTTTTGTCAGGGAGTTCAGGGTACCCCACATGCAGCTGCATTCAGAAGCTCTCTGACTTCACCTTTGAAGAAGAATCCCAGGTTTTAGGCAGCCTTGGCTGCCTTGATTATGCTGCTGCACCGCCTTTCAAATGAGGAGAGGATAATTTGCTGTGAGCCAGTGAGATTATTGCTCCACTGAAGACAAAGAGTTCCATCAGTTCATGCCTTCAGAAGATTTGGATCTATATCTCCATAGCAGTGACTTTACAAACAATTTAGCTGTGGCTTTTTGTTTCCAATTTCATGCCTTTTGTGTCATAATTCTTCTGAAATTGTCTGAAAATTTCTGAGAGTGTAAGGCACAGCAGAGAGCTGGAGCACTCAGCATAAATTGTGCTCTCTCCTTCACCACGAGGCTGAACACTTAACACAGAAGAGCTGTAAAGGGCTGGAATGTGGTATTAGAACATCAGACACATCTGAGGCACATCAAACACATCTGGGGCACATCAAACACATCTCTGCACTGAGGGAAAGGGAGGGACAAACATATTCCCTTCCACCCTTCCACACTGCATCCTTACACTCTTGATGATTCAAATATTTCATTCACTTCTGGAACCTAATTGAAACATTCCTATTAAATCTAAACAGAAAGGGAAGCCAATAATGAAAGGTTCTTATATTAAGGTATAAATATGAAGATGGAGATCAGCCTTCAGCACATTTTTGGCTTGAAGTTTTCCATTCCACTCTTCACCAGTCACAGAAGAGAAATCCTTCAGACAAAAGACAATAGGAGTTAGTTAGGCTTCTGGTTGAACTGATGTGGGAACAATAGTATTTTTATTTATTTAGAGAAATCTTTTGAAAAATCCACTGGAATTCAAGTCCCTGTAGAGTGTGTGCCATTTGGTAAAGAGGGTAGATGTAGACACAGTCAGGAATCCTAAATTCTCCTGAGTTCTGCCTTATGGATGGAAATTACTGTGGAGGTAGTAGTATGACCAATCTGTGCTCAAATAGCCATTCATTGTCTCCAGATACTTCCTTATTAAAATATTCCTTGAGCAGCAGTCCCTCTCTTTCCATACCTGGACATTTGATCAGCTCAGCCTATGCAGCACTTTTGCTTATATTTAATGAATTGGATTTAACTGACTCCAACACATTTTCTTAAATATTCACATAGCCCAGCCATTTAGCTCAACCCTCACTAAAAAGCTCACTTGCCCTCCCAGTCCTAGACTGACCAAGAGTTTCACCAGGGCTACTTTTACTCCATTTTCCTGGAGATTAACAACATCTCATGATACTGGGCCTTGTACTAGAAAAGCTTTAATGGCAGGAGAGTGAGCAGAGGGGACACCAGGCTTATGCCAAGTCATGGAAATCATTACAGATGGGTCATCTTTACTTCACCCCCATCACGTATGTAGCTCAGCTCACGTTGCACACCCTCCTTTTTTATTGTGGTTTTATTTTTAAATTTTTGTGATTTGGTAGCCATGGAAAGTAGAAATTTCTAGGTTTCTTATCTTGGTTTGAAGCAGTCTGTGTTGTTGGAGACTGTTTCATAACAGCTTCCCTTTATAAAGTTGAAGTCTCCTACCTGCTCCATCAGCCCATCACTTAATTCCTTCCACAGATTACCATGGCCTCACCATGGGTACTCAGTACCACAGTACTTTGGCAAGCACCTGGTACTTATGAGTGCAAAATTCCTCTCTTATGGGCTTTCTACACCTGATTTAGACTGCTCTGAAGAGGAAGATTTCCCAAAGACAGGCACAGGGCAGAGTCAATGTGCCACATCCCCCAGCAGCTGCACCACACCAGTACACCGGCACGTGTTTCCTGAGCTGGAGCTGACTCTGCCTGCCTGCTTGCAAACACAGACAAATGCAGACCTGATTTCTTATTGTGCCCACCTGGAAATCCAAAGAGAGGTGTAAAAGAAGGCCCTCTTGTCTTAAAGTGTCAGCAATGCCGTGTCAAGGTGGTGTTGAAAGCCTGGCCTTTTACCAGTCCAGCAGCAATCCTCTGTGGAAATGTTGGTGAGCTGAGAGCTTCCCAGGGACCTCCAGCCCAGGCTCCTTAGTTCTGTGCTTTCCTTTCTCCCTGCCATTTCTATAAACCACCACTTCTTTCTGGTTGCTGTCTGTCAGTTGTGACAAGGGGACAGATGGAGCCCTCCAGCTCATTTGTGATTTATGCTGCAGACCTGTGCTGGTCCTCTGGAGATTTTAAGTCACTCACTCACAGTGGTGAAGGAACGAGGGCCAGGGAGCTGCCTTCAAAACCACCCCAAGGTGGCTCCTAATGCTTAATTACCTGTGTGCTCCCTGGCAGGACTTTGGCCTGCAAGTGCTCTCCCAAAGACGAATTGCAGGACAGCAAGGCTGCAGATATTTATTGGCACTCTGTACATACCAGGCAACGCTCTTTTCCAAGGAGGGAAGACAGTTCAGCCATGCTGAGACACCACTGGGTTTCAAGGACAGAGGCAGGTTCCTGTTTAACAGCACAGGTACAGACAGCTTCAGACAAGCACTGCAGAGGTCAGGGAATGTGGTGCTGTCATTTTCGCAGCTCCTGGCTGCTGTGTTTCTCCTGCTTTAATAATATAATTATATTTATATGTATTTAATTATATTTATATATATTCAAATATATTATTATATTATATTATATTATATTATATTATATTATATTATATTATATTATATTATATTATATTATATTATATTATATTATATTATATTATATTATATTATATTATTATAAATTATAATTATATATTTTTATATATATTTTAAATATAATATATATATTTAATAATAACCTGCTTTGAGCAGCTCTGTGATTACATGCTGGGTAGATAAGATGAGGTGGAGAGTATGGCAGGGTCACCACACCTCAAGAGGGGCCACTGGAGTAAATTTCCCCCTGTACAACCTCGCTTTCTTTTTCTGGCAGGGAGGATCTCAGTTCCACATGTTCTGTCTCCTCATTTCTAACCTGTCCTTGCCTTGGGATATCTGCTCAGAAATGCATCATCATCCTCATGTCAGTGACACTCCCATTTCCTTTGGCAGCCTGAGCCCACATATTTGTTTATAAAAGCAATTTATTTCAATAATTAACTGGCTATCTGAATAACTGTTTTCAAGGTCAACACTTTTACATGAATGGGGATGGTCCAAAGAGGTAGAAAACCTCATTTTTTTCAGACCAAGATACAAAAGGCATTTGAAGAATATTACTGTAATTATATGGAAATTTACCTGTTAAATGATTTCTTTTTTCCTGCAAGCACAGCTGTGAGGGGATGAAGATTAGTGCAGTACTGGCCTGGGACTGGGGTATTCGGTTTTAACCTCTGCTTCTGATTTATATTAAGACACTGAACTGGATCTCCACCACTTTATCCACCTCATCTACACCCTCAGGAAAGCTCTGACACTCACTAGATTCATTTTTCAGTGCAAGGTGCTGACTTCAATGTAGCACAAATTTAATGCTCTAAAAACAAACAGTTGAAATGAGACAACTGAGTCTTCAGCTGGAATGTCCTACACAGACTCAAGCTCCAGATGATGGAAAAAAATCTAACTGGGAAGCAGAAAAGTGTAATATAAAGAAATGAGTGTCTCATAATTAGGGAGGAAGACAACAGAGAGCGGTGGAAAGACTTCCTTGTTCCCTGTGATTTGAGAGAAATGATTCACGCTGTCCATGGTGCTATTCTGCCTTGCACTTCACAGGGTTGCCAAATACTGTAATAACTTAGGAAATAACTGTACAGCCTCGAGGATGCAAGATGACACCCACTACACAATGAAGTCTAGCCATCTACATGGTATAATGATGAAAGGTTACTGGTTTATTTATAAAATCCGTAATGAGCTCCAAAATAATGGTGTCATAATTGATTTAAAATTGCTCTATTAGAATGATTTATGCTCATTATACAAGCTCAAATTGGTTTGAGGGTTCATAGTCACTGTCTTTTGTCTAATTTTAAAATACATTTAAAATACCTTAAAGCAGAAAATTAATAGAGTAGGTACAGAATACAAAAGCAGGCTTGAAATAGAAGTAAATTTTGTTCTAGCAATTTAAATATATACTTCAAGAGATATGTGAGAAAAAAGAAGAGCAGAATTATATTGTTTACCTGCAATTTATAGGTTCAGATGCTGAATAAATGCAGAATAAAACCATTTCCTTTCTTTGTAACAAAAATAATATTTCATTGTTATGGGGAAAGGAAGGCATAATTCCTCAAGTATAGGTGATGTTTTTGTCAAAGGAAGAGCGTGTTTCATTCCAAAACAGTACAGTCTGAGATGCAGCACAGGCCTGAGGTGTGCCTGGACATGGGACTTGAGTGAGATGCTCTGATGCTCCTCGGCAGCTGGCTGCCCCAAGGAAACCTTTCTCCAAAAGTCTCCTTTCTGTTTCACAGCACGGGATTTTACAACTGCTCAACTGTTCATGAAATTAAATTATTTTTCCTTATCTTCCCCAAGGCCAAACCCTAAGAGGATTTCTGAAAGTAAATCCAGCCTTCATTACATCATGTTCTTTGCTAGACAATCTGGGCATAGTTCTGCTCTTGATTTCACCAGTGGAAATGAAAATACTCTGAATAGGAATGGGTTTAGTGGAGGCTGAATTTTGAACTTCAAGTTTTTCTACTCCTGGAAAAGAGTCTTTTCTCAAGTCTCCAGTCATCCCAAATTTCCTTTGAATAGGAGTCCTGCTGCAGTTGAGTGTCAGCTGGGGATTGAACTACCCAGAGAAAACACCAGGAGTACCAATCCCCTCTGCTGGGCTCTGTGGGGTGCTTTCCTTCAAGCAAGATCAAACCCAGGTCAGTAGAAACCCATAAAATGACAAGTAGCAAAAATTTTAAAACAATTGTGTGCACATGTATTTGTAAGAGTTGTGCCAAAGGATCATTAGGTTACAAGAAAAATCCAAATTTGTATTTTGTACATAGGAAAACCCACCTACAAGATATGATATTCTCAATGAATAGGCATGGCAATGACCGTCCTTAAATGAAAGTTAGATGAAATTAAAGTGAAAGCAAAGATGATTGGGAGTCCAACTCTGGGCTCATACAGAATTAAAAGGCTGTTTTTACCTACAAAATAACTATGGAAGAAATCCAAGGCATGGAATGGCTCACCAAAGTAGATGTCACATGCAAACATTGTATATTCATGGTGGAAGGAAATGCCACTTTACTAAAGAGGATATAAAAAATTGCTTTTATTGAACTATGCAAAGCCTGGTGAAAGAAATAGAACATTGCAACAATTCCTTTCTTGAAATGTGTGGGATAATTCAGTATTAAGCACAGCATATGTCACAGTAGTCTCCAGATGTTCATTGTGAGGAAGGTGTTGTTGAAGAGATTAAAATAGCTTCCATTAGACTTTTTGTCAATTTTCTAATGAGTTTCCATCTGCAGGTATTTTTAGCTGCTAAACACAGATCCACTAACTAGGCTAAAGAGAAAAACAACAAACTTCAAATTAGTCATTAATTTTATTCTGATTCTTTTGTATGCTAGATCACATAAGTGAAACATTAAGGAAAAGATAGTGAGTACTGGTTTCTAGAGCAGGTTCCCAAGGTAGATCCTAAGATTTCAGGGGAAAAAGGTCATTTTCAACACTGAATTTGATCTGTATTCTTTTAAAAAATAATTTCAACTTGAAAATTTCCCCAAATTGTCACAGTTTTAATGCACATGGCCCAACCAGGAAGTCATAAGGGGCATATGCTCAAAAAATTCACTTTAAATCTATCAACTGTCAAATATAATTGACCATATTTTATAAAATTTGTCTTGATAAGAAAAAAAAAAAGTTTTCTTCCCTGTTACATTTTATAAAGGATAGAAAAAGAGAACAACCTTTATTGTGGGACACATTAATGGCCCAAAGATAGAAGAGTTTTCATGGTACAGTTTAATAATCACCGTCAGTGGAAAAGGAGTTACCCAAACCTGCCTGACCTTTGTCTGAGAGTCAGACACAATTCTCTCCAATGTCAAAACACCTCTTTCCCGTGCTGTGAAGCACAGGCTGCTCTGTTTGTTCAGAAAATCTGGTTTTATGGAAGATTTTCTCAGAAAAGACAGAAAATGAGGTGTGAGAATCCCTCAGAGTTCTGGTGCCTTGTCTTTCATGGGCAAGGAGCAGGGGATGAGCCCATCCCTGGCTTCCCTGCATGCCCATGCAGCTCCCAGGTGATTTTGCTCAAGTTGAGTTCCCTGAACTGTTCATCAAAGCCATTTTGGAGCGTTCTGCCTGCCCTGGGCACCTCAGAGAGCTCCTGAGAAAGCACAGGAAGGAGGAGCCTGAACTAGGTGATATTTTTCACCGTTTTATAAATTTTTTGTCCATAACAAGTGTGTTGTTGCTACCAAGTGAAGATTGTTTTGTGTTCACATTGATGCCCACTGCAATGCAGGCCATGAATAATGGACCCAGTGGTATCACTGATTGTGACTTCTAATGCAAATAGGAGACAACTCCATAAAAAGTTGCATATTATATGTTTCTTTATTTCACCTCTCAGTGTTACATAAACACATAGAAATTATCACCTTGTTCCTAAAAACATAGCCTGGTACTTCAGTATAACTCTTAATGTTTAATTTGGTCTGTTCAGTGATTTCATTATGGAAAAAAACCCACTCTAATATAAATAAAATCGTTGTGAAAAGTAAAATTGTAATCCTTTTAAAAATCCAATCTACTCTTGAAGCTTTCTCTGTGTTTCACTTCCAGCTTCTTTTAGTGATATAAGATTTCCTTTTTTTGGCTTATAGTTAATGGTTATTGCTTTGGACAACGGACAACCTTTTGTATGGCCTTTTAAAATATTGAGATAAATTCAGACTTGTAAAGTTCAGATTTTTGAGTATGAGGTTTGTGATTTAGAATACAGATTTTTTCCTCCCCGGTGTAACTCAATAGAATCCTACTCAGGTTTTTTTGGTAGACAGCAAGCAGCCAAGTGTCACCAGGAGCAAGACTAAAATAATTGGACTGTGAAGAGAGACACTGATACTGCTGCCCTTTATTCAGAGGGAATGAAGACTACTGGGAATAATTTATTCTGAGGCCAGCAAATTTTCATTCAGCCAACATTTTATCTTCCAGATCCTTCTCCTTGAAAAGAGGCAAATTCAATCAGGTAATAAAATCATATTTTCAGAAGAAGATCTGTAAGTGCCAGGCTCATTTTAGCACAAAAGCCTGAAGAGATCCATGGGTAGTTTGGGTTTATTTCCAAGCAATTTTAAGAAGACACAAAACGTATCTCAGGCCTTGCAGCTCTAGTAATTCTAGTCCGTTTTATTCATTATCTTAAATCTTGTTTTATGATACTAAACCTAAAACAGGATCCTTGTGAGCAAAACTATGAATTTGCCTGAAGTCCTCCAGGATCCTCTGGGAGATCCCAAAGAGAAAAGTGACTGTGGGCTGGAGCTTGGCTCTCAGTGAGTCTCACCAGCAATGGTCTGTACCCTACAGCATGGTATTGGGATTTTGTGGCATGAAATGAGAACCAGAGCCCTCTGAGCTGGAAAAAGGAGATGTCATCCCAGTGCCAGGTGCACGAGCTGTGCAAAAACATTCCAACCTTTTCCCAGAAGCTCCTAAATTTGGATGTGCTGCTGTTGTACCAGCCTCCTTCCACACAGTCGTGTCTGGCCGCTTGAACTGGAAATAGTCCTGCAGCCCAACAGGAAAGGGGATGGAAACTCTAATTCTCACCCACATGAGTAAATACTCTTACACCTCCAAAGGCATTTGATGGATTTGTTTACACTTCTTATTTTTGTATGTGTGAGTTTAAGCTTGAAACTCCCTGTTTGAGCTTTGTCCATCATTCCCCAGCTCGATCCCTTGGAAGAGAAAAGTTTTACAATGAGGTTCATTTATAAGTCACATTTATTTTGGTGCTGTCAGGAACACTGACACCAAAAATAGCACATGTAAAAATACCTTTCACCTCTCCAGAACTATTCTCTCTTCTGGACTTTTAAGTGCTCTTTGTATCACTCCCTTGGGGTCACATTTCTGTGCCTTTTCTGATCCTCTTCTGCTCTGGGAGCTCAGGGTTTCTAAGTGTGGGCAGATCTGTCAAATCTCTCCACTGATCTGCAGTATCACAACTAACTAATTTCGTATTTAGTTTTACAACTCTCACATTGAAAATAAATGTGCATCTTTAATATTATTGTTGATTTCCAAGGAGCTACATGAAAAATGCCATGGTCCTGGAATAAAATTGCAAGATCCTTGAATTTTCTGTGGCAGTAAATGTTGCACTGAAACATTTAAATAAACTGTGATGGGGTTAAACATCCCTATTCATACATAAATGTTTTTTACCTTCCTTCCTGTAACCAAATTCTTTAGCATCTTGCTAATACTTTATTTCTGGCTACAAAGGAGGGAATCTCAGCCCACCTGATGAGATTGTTTCATTTCATTGGTAGGTGAGGGATGAACAAATTTTCAGCTCTTTCAAACAACAACTTCCCTTTTCTACACATAAATGCTGTTGAAAAATCTTCTCAAGTTTTGTGCTTGAAATGCTGCTTAAATAAAACTAAGTTGGAAAACTGCCTCCTTGCATAGAATAGCTTGAGGGAATGCAGAGGGAATCTCACTGAATCGTTACTGGTGATTACAAAGCAAGAGCTATTGAGAGAAAAACTAACAGCTGTTTAAAAATGTTATTTTAGAGATTAGGGCAAAAATGCAGGTAAAATACAGGCATTTTGTAAACACCTGCAGGCTGTAGAAAAGAGGTGCTATTCAAATATTGTTTAAAAATACTCATTTAGCCACTTAACACCCAGGGCTTGTAATTTATTTAAGAGCTAAGTGGTATGTGTGCTTTAGACCTTCTTCATTAGCACAGACTGCTAATAGGAAGTTATGTTTTTGCTTCAGTAATTCTCAGTTATTAGCACTGGAAAGCAGGGAAGCAGATGACTGTGAGTGATCATCTGTTACCTGTTACATCTGTTATCTCTTACACTGAAAATAATCAATTTATAAAAAACTTAGAGATAAAAGTACACGATTTAAAAAATACATTAACATTTGCTAACAAGCTATAAAGTTGCATTACATAAGTGCATCTTTACTTGAGGATAATAAAACAAATATCTCTGTCATTAACATTTTTATTTTTAGTTCTTAAAATTATTTGAGTACTTTAAGTTCCTGAAGACAGCTGTTAAACTGATTATCTGCAAATTTACACACAGCATCTGAAAAATAGCATCTTCCTAACAAGATACTCTATTCTTAACAATCATGAATTATAATGTTAATAGGATTCGATTGGATTGCTGTTAATCACAAATTATTCAGCCTTTAAAACGTGCTTCCAACACCTGCTTGGAAATTCCATTCCTTGGAAATTGACTCAATTAAGAGAATTTTTTGCTCCCATCTTTTTGAACTCCGTTTGCCAGAAGGGAAAAGAAAATCCATGATCTGATTCCCAGAGGGTTTTGCTGTGCATGGCACAAACGAGCTTGGCAGACACCAAATTTATACTGGAATAAAGGCCTTTGGTACAGACTCTCATAAATGATTTGCATAGGAAGGATGTGCTGCTGATCACTTGGATAAGTGTGGAACAGCCTTCAGGTAATCCTCAAACAGCAGAGCAGGCTTGAAGGAATATAGACCTCAGTGTGCCCAGAAATCATAAAGTGTGCTACGTTTTGGGAGGGTTTATGTAGAGCAGCACAAAGGGGATCCTCATGTCCTCATTCCCCTGGGGTACTGGCATTTCTCCTGTGACTCTCTTTTCTATCTTTAGCTCTTATCACTCACAAAAAACATGTTTGGGACCGGTAAATCCTTAGAGGATGAAGGGCTTCCTAAGTAGTTTTGTTCCTCACGGGACATTTCAGGCAGTACAAAAATGTTGTCGTTGTCAAAAATATTTTTCAAAACTCTGGAAAGTAAGAGAGATAAAAAAACCAGATCAATATTTTCCTTTTTAATTTTTTTTTTTATTTTATTTTTTTCTCTTGTGTTCAAATCTCATGAGAAAGAATTCAGTCACTGCAGTAGTGAAATACAAATGCAGGATGTTGGTGTGAGCTGCCTGTTAGAAGGGACAATTCCTGGCAGCCTAGGAGCTGGGAGTCTGGAAACCCAACTTGGGAAGCAGGAACATCCTTGAAAAGTGCTGCTGGGCCCTTGGAAGTACAGCTGGCCTATCTGGAAGCTGGACATCTTGAGGTATTACCAATAAACACAAACCCAAGATATTGTAGTGACAGCTTATTGTCTGAGAAATGGAAATGGAGAAAATCAACTGGGTCTGAAGGAAAAGGAAACATTATCTGTTGGCTGTTAGAGGTGAAATATGAAATTACACAGCATATTGGTTGCTTGAAGTTATAGTGCCCTGCAACCTCAGATGTCTCTATGGTGTGCAAAGGGATTAATCTTTATATGCAAAATGAAATTTCTCTCTGTGAGGGCTTCTCGTGCTGTATGTGCTCTGTACCTAAACAGGTTGCATTCTCCATGTGAGTGTTTTTTAAGGTCTTGGACATCACTGGGGACACCTGTGTGACCCCAAACTGTGTCATGGATTATCTTTGGAGGGAATCTGTCCACTGATTCATTTCCTTCTCGACGCATTGTTGGGCTTGGTTTGCTTCTGGGGTGATTAGATCCCTCTCTGGGCTATAAATTTGCATTAATCTATAACAAAATAGAGAAATTCAGAGGATAAATCTTCTGTGTCCTTGTCTGTTGTGCAATCCTGTGTACTCACAGTCATGATTTCCACACACCTGTATGTTGGGTAATCCTTTAGGTCATGACAGATGTTGTTTGTTACAATTTTGGGGGAATTAATAAACAAACTAAATCTGGTAAATATAGTAAACAAATAAACAAACAAAAAACCCTAGTATTTTCATCAGGCAGAAGTAGGATGGTCTGTGTCCCTAAAAGTCCTGGAGGAAGTAAAAGTCAGTAAAATTTGGTAGCAAGCTAAAACAGTAAAACAAACAGATAAAATTCAGCACATGCCACACAGCCAGATGGGAATCCCTGGTGGTTCTCATGCACAGAATTGGGTTTTCAGGAAAGGGAGCAGCTCTGCTGGGTGACACAGAGTGAGTGCCACCAGCCAGAGCTGGGATTAGGCTCACATTGCTTAAAGGACAGCTGGACAATCTACCATTAATGGCTGAGCAAGCTCCGGCCCATGAAAGCTCACTGACTGAAAAATCAGCATCTGAAGAACAAATTCACTGAATTTAATAGTAGTTAGGGAAATGTAACCCTTTCATTAGTTTATTTGTTCATTGGTTTTTATTTATTTTTTTTTCTTTTTTGCTTGCCTGTTTGTTGTTTCGGTTTTTTGTTTTGTTTTGTTGTGTTGTTGGTTGGGTTGGGTTGATTCTTTTTTGCTTGGAGGAGGAGGTGGAGGAAGTAGAGTGTGGAAATTGGTACAGATCTTTTTGAAATACTCATTATATGATCAGAAAACTGCTTGCTATTCCTTCTGGTTATATTATTCTGATAAACCCACATATTCTATTAACAGAATCGTGAGAATATTTTAAAGACTCTGGTCTTGAAATGTTAAAGCAATTTCTAAATATTTTAGATATGATCCATGGATATGATAACTCTGTGGATAAGTTACCAGCTATAGGTTGCTCCCTATCCATGAAGCAGTTCAACATTTCACTTTTTAATTGCATCCTTATTTTATGTCAAGTTTCAGAACAAGGGATTTCTTAGTTTTTCACAGGGTTTGGAAGTGGACTTGTGTCACTGTCGGACATGAAGTGATTCACACAGACACCTCTTGATGTGGGACAGAAGAAGAAGAAGGAACTTTATTTTATTATTTCAGTATTTATAGATTTTTGACAACTACCAGGGATTGGATAGTCAGGTCACCACCTTCCCAACCACACTGGTCATAAGAAATGTCCATCAAAAGGCAAATCTTTAATGGAATGTATAAACGTCTATGTTTATAGTTCCTTTCCTGGGAAAGTGTTTAGAAACTATGAAAAACAATATCAGAAGGCTTGATTCTCAGGGTGACAGACTTGATTCACATTTCAGCAGATGTGCCTGGGCCTGATCTGGGGACACACTGAGCTGGCATAAAGGGGCCTTGTGGCATCCTGTGAGACAGCGTGGCACAGCCAGGCCCCGCTGTGCAGGATGCTCTTCCCATGCCCTGGAGCCTGCAGGACACAGCCAACACACACAACCCACAGACTGCCTCGCTGAGTCTCACAAAGCCCTTTCCAACCCCAAATTCTTGGCCTCTGTGGAGCCCCAAAGCCTTACAGATGTTTTTTTCTTTGTCCCAAAGGTCATACAGAGACAGATGCAGCAAGTGACATGTGCTGCTCTCAGGGCAATGTGCAGCCTGGCACTGACCCAGGCAGCCTTGGTGGAATTGGTTCATGTGCTGGAAATGTGCAGAGGGCTGGCCTGTAGCTTAACACATGGTGGTGCTTTGCTCTTCTGGGGCCTTGTTCCAGAATCACTGCATTCATCATGACTCTCTCTATTAAATTCATGACTTTGAATCAGGCCTTATGTTCATATTTTTAACCTAGAGCTCTTTGGCATTTTAAACAGCATCACCATGTTTCTCATTTTATTCCTTGATACTGGTGGAGTTATTTGTGCTGAGCTTTGTCAAAAATGTATTAAAGCTCCCAGTTAATATATCCCTGCATCAAGGCTGCCTGGTCACATGAATTCTTTCCTTGGAAAACACTTGGTCTGGTAATGTAGTTCTTTATATTGAAAGGCTTCAGAAATTATTAATTGAGGTAGCCTTGAGATTATGAACTTGCAGAACACTTTTTCTTCCCTGTGTTTGCAGGGATAGCCTGCTTGAACTATACAGGGAGCTTGGGGGGTTTCTTGGTGCAGATTTTAGGGGGAAAAAGTGCTTAGTGGTGTTGTGAGTGGGTGATTTGGGTCACTTAGAGCATCACTGTCAAAGATATTAGCAAAGGATGGATTTAATATGATGTTGTAAAAGTACAACTGAATGGTCTGGGTTGGAAGGGGAAATAAAGATCCTTCATTCCCAACCCCCTGCCATGGGCAGGGACAGTTTCCACAAGACCAGGTTCCTCAGAGCCCCACCAAACCTGGCCTTGAACTCAGGGATGGGACATCCACAGCTTCTCTGGGCAACCTCTGCCAGTGCTTCACCACCATTCCAGGAAAGATTTTCTTCTCACTATCTAAATAAATATTAGGATATTCTCCCCAATATTTAATTCTTCCCAATATCTTCCCAATGTCTTCCCAGTATTCCCAAGGGAATGCTAAGTATGATTAGTAAGAAACCGAATCCCAAACACCTACTGGTGGTAAAGGGTCTCAGAACAGGTGGAGATGGGCCATATCTGCCTCTCATTTCTGTGGGCTGATTTTTCCAAGGGTCTGGCCCAGAGCAGCAGGTCCCATTTGACATTTTATACCATGCCATGATACCTCAAGGCCATGCTGTAAAAAACATCCAGACAGCAGGTGAAAGCTGCCTTTGGAATCCCATCCCTGCCTTCTGCAGGTCCTTCCCCTGAGGCTGGCACAGGGAGCTCTGCAGCCTTTGCTGGGCTCTTTGCCGTGGCTTTGGAGCCCCTGAAGAAACTACATGCTCTGAAATCCCAAATATCCCAGCACTGCAGCAGTGATTCAGGTCTAATACAGTGCCACTTTTCTTATTTAAAAATGGGAAATCATATCAAATGTGAAAGCAATCTGCTCCCATCAGGATGCTAAATACTGTTTTGTAGCTGGATTAAATAAATCTTAATTAGGATGCTCAGTGTATATTTTCATTTATTGCCTTCCTTCCTCTCTTTTCGTGTCTATGTTTGAACATGTGCATATATAAAAAATAAAAGCATATAAACATATAAAGAAAGGATGAACACATTCAAATATATTCTTTGCAGCTTATGGGGCAGAAAAATCTATGGAGCTTCAAATGACCATCTTCTGCAGTTCAATTTCCTTTGTAATGAAAACTAACACCACAGAAGTATGTACATTGTTCAATTTAATATGGTCAATGAAAATTTATATCCCTCCCCTTATTTTATTCTGAATTATATTATTGCAGAAAATGAGCAGAGCACATGTGATTCAAAAGGAAAATAATCAGTTTTCATTTCCTATTGGCTTAGGGGTACCAGTGAACAAGCTTGAAAGGGAAATTTCTTTAGCAGAGCAGTATTTTGTACAGAGGTTTTTGGAAGACCTGGGTCACTTAAAATGATTCCAGCAGAGTGCTGAGGTCCAAGTCAGAAGCATAAGTTGGTATTTACACTCCTGTAAGGAGTTGTTGTTCCCAGCAGTGACTGTGGCATCAGCTGCACCAGCCCAAGCCGTAAGGAGGGTTCTGTTCTTTGAGCCCAAAGAGACTCTGGTTTTGGGAAAGTTGAGAATGAAAAGTGTATTTTCACTCATGGCAGGCTCTTTTCACCCCTCCCCACCACAGGCACAGACATTGCACCCCCCCAGGTCTGTATTCCTTTAGGAGAGGGGATGCTGAGGATCCTGGCAGTGGCAGGGCTGGGAATAATCACACCTGGCTCTTTTCCACCTCCATTTCTGTAGCCACAGAATGGGAGTGATGGCACAGATTCCCCAGTGGAGAGAGGATTTGAAAACAAGAGAATTAAAAATGCAAAATTACTTTTGTGATACTTGTAGGTAAAACAATGCTGGTGGTTGAGGCCCTTGTGGATACACCAGATATTCCAGGGAATGTGGTTAGACCTGAGAAAATGACTCCCAACAAAGTCTTCATTGTGTTTTATATCTTCATGAGGGACATCCCAGCTGGTTGTCTCTGCACAGCTATATTTATATGTCTTCAGCCAGCTGAATTCAACCAAACTGACTAAAAGGCTTGAGAAAAAAATTATATTAATTAAATGCAATATGGGATCTTCCTCCAGACATATGCTATGTGCAACCAGTGTATATGAATTAATCATGAACTATCTAGAATAAATGTTCTTAAGGGAAAAACTTGCTGTGAAATGGTAGCAAATGAGTCAAAATGATGCAGATATCAGGATTCTTTCTTTTGCTTCTCTGCTACTCTCTGCTATAAATAAATGTATAATCTTTCATTAACTATTTAACAAGCTTTTTTTTCTTGTATTTGCAGCGTTTTTCCATCTCTTCATCTTTTTCTTCCAAAAGTGGGTACAGGCAGCCTTTGACTGAGGCTAGCCTGGAACCAGATGTGATATATTCGGGCTACTTAAGGCCAAATATATATAAGGCTATATTAAGGCCAAAAGGAGAAGTTGAATTTTGTGGCTGCATATCAGTCAACTCAGGCATTACTGTGCTGTGATCCATTATGTAGTGTAAACAAACAAAATATGTTTTCATTAAGGGCTTTGAAGTCCTTGATGAAAGGAATGATCTGAAAGAATGTATTGTTGATTCTATAATGAAAAAATCAGGACACTTCATGTACACTAGTTTTCAGGAGGGTTGAAGTGCTAATTGAAGTTGCAGTGAAGATTATTTTTTAAGCAAATCAAGGAAGCACAAGTTTATTTTCCCAGCTGTACCAATAAATGGTGTCTAGTGACACTTTTTATTCCCCAAAATATTCCCTCTGGTTTCCAGGGGAGTACAGGTGTCCTGTATCTTCTGTCTCATGGGGGTGGGGTTCCACAAACCATAATCAATGCAGCCAGAAGGTTATTCAGGCTCCTCTAAAGAAAAAAAATCAACAATTGATCACACTGTCTTAATTTCATTTGACAATATTTACTAGATTTCCATTGAGTTCATTAGTGCCTGTTTTAATTGCCAACACCTACTTCCCTTTTTTTTATGCTTTGGGCATCCTTTCAAACTTTCAAGTGACCTTAAGGGCATCTTTCTTCTGTAGGTCCTGGGAGCAGCTCAGTGAGCACTGGAAATGCAGCTTTAGGCAACTGAACCCCAGTTTGGGCCACCAGCTGAGCTGTAACTGAGCTGGCCCTGAGTGTGGATATCAAGTGTCACATCCTCTGTGTCCCTGTGGCACACGGAGAGCAGAGCTCTGGTGGTCCCCAGATTCTGAAAACAGGCAAAACACTGCACAGCTGAACCACTTCCACCTGTGGAAATAGATGCATGGTGTGGAAATTTGCATTTACAAGCATTGAAAACAGTTTACACTTACATTAGGTCCCACAGGTTTTCTACCACAGAGGGGTTTTGCTCTCTAAACATTTATTAAACACATAGAGGCCAATGAAAGAAATTGCAAATGAAGTTTGTAAAGCAATTCTGATATACATTTAGCAACTCAGTTGTGTAAATCATCCACCTAGAATGCCAGAATAATGGATGCCATAAGGAATAGGGAAGTACAAGGGGAATAACAGGGTTTAGCTGGGCTGTTTTGTAATTACTGTGAAGGACATATACAGTGACTCATCCCTAATCCTATTTCTAATACATTTTTAAAATTTTGAGTCAAGCAGAGTGCCATCCACTTCTCCACTTGATCACATTGTCTTTGACTCTAACTGGAATTTGATTTGTCTGTGTCTCTTGAGGCCAGACTGCAAAAGCTTCACGTTTAAACCCTCTCTGTAGAGGACTCTTCCACATCCTCTAAAATCACCCCTGCCATGATGCTGAAAGAAAATTATCATCTGAAACCTACAGAGCAGGACAGGAGCTGTGGTTATTGCTGCTTCTGAATTGCCAACACATCCAGGCTTTGCTAAAATAGCTCAGCACCTTTGCTGGATTTTGTCAGATGCATCTGTTATATATATATATTTTCCTTAATTTTATTTTTTTTTATTTTTACCAGTGGGTAAATGGTTGGAGCTACTATCAAGCTTCATCTCTTTCCTGAGCTTTTAACAGAATCAGTCTCTAACCTGTCTGAGGCCCTTCCCTACCTCCGGCTGCCAACAAAACTGAAATAGAAACCTCTCCCTTAAAAAGGTGAGTCAAAAGCAGGAAAAAAACCCAGAGTGCCAGCACTTGCAGAGGGCCTGACACAACAGATGCTTCACTACTCATCTCTAAAAAGGCTCGTGGTGCAGTTTATTTTACCCCAGGAGGAATCAGTTCAGCTAAGAAAGTTCTAATCTCAAAGGAAAACCCTGACGGTGTTGCAGAGGATCCAACAGAGAAAAGCACCTTGGAAGGAAATTAAATGCATCATACAAGCTCCTGAAGCTTGATAGCAGGTTATAGGTGCACCAGAAATCAGAAAATAAATAAAAAAAATGAGAGGTGAAAAACAGATTGGAGAGGTGTTTATTTTCCCCAAGGAGAACTTGAACATCCACTGGAGACCAGGGAAGAGTGTTAATGAAGCAAGTAGCAGCAGGGGAGCTACTTGACTTAATACAGTCCTTTATTTCATTTATAGAGAACTGATTTTTCAATCAAAATGCCTGATGTGGGCTTACAAAAAGCATCCATGGGGGGAACAGAAAAAAACTACAGGGACTCCCACATTACCACAGACTTTTAACTGATCTGTTAGTGAGTTTATTAGAAATGTGCTTGGGAAGCTCTGTCAGGGCTCAGCTCAGCCATGGGTTACAGCTTTGCAAGCAAGGTTGGAAATTGCTGGAAATTGTTTGCTGTTCATGACATCATGGGTAGCACTGCCACAGGAATCTCTGCCTGGGAAAATGAAAACTGGGGGAGGAAAGCCAGCATGACTGCAGAACTTTTGTTTATTTCACTGACTTTTTGTTTCTGTATCTGTCAATAAAACAGGCCAGGAGCTTCTCTCCTTTCCTAAAGTGACGTGGCCCATCTGCTCATTCCTCTCCTCCCAGGAGGAGGTAGCTCTGCTCTTACTACATACCAGGTATAATCTCTGGCCCCTGCTCTTACTACATACCAGGTATAATCTCTGGCCCCTTTCTCCTCTCCTTACCAGGCATTTCCTAAGAGTACTAATTAAATGCTAATTAAACCCATGTCTTTGGCCACGGAAAGTTTTGATGCAGCCACACAGACTCAGGACTCCAGAAGAGAAATTCTCAGAAAGGCTTTAATGCCCAGTGGGGTTCTGGTGTGTGACTCGATGTTTCCTCGCTGGGAGCTGCTGTGGCACAAGGGCACAGCTGAGTGCCCTGAAAGCCAAACAAAGGGAAATGTTTTGCCAAGGAACCTTTGCAAAGGGACAGATGGTCTGGAGCAAGTGGCTGACTGCAGAGACTTGATGCAGTTCCCTTCATAATTGGCAATAAAACTCTATTTTACCTTTGAGGGATAATTTCTTGAAAGAAAGTACCTGGTTTGAGTTCCTAGCCAAAGAAAAATAAAAATAAAAAAGAGTTTGTTTATCTGTCTAGATAGTGCTACTTGTTTTGTCATTGCAAATAATCTCTGGCATCCTTGAGAGACTTTTGTTCACTGGGAATTTGAAAAAAAGGCCATTCCCAAAGCTCAAAAACAATTGCCAGGCTGACAGGTTAGGAGGGAAAATACTATAAGCCCTTCAGTCAGGTGAATCCTCAGAGGAAAGCCTCCACCTCCCCAAAAATTTTTTAATTTAAGTGAGCATTGGCTCAGCCTGAGTTTGAGTGTCTCGTTAAGGATTTTTGGGTTTGGGTTCTTTTTCCCTTTGAACTGAAGATTGACAAGAGGGAGGCAGTTTTCTCTTGTTTGGTCTCTGTTGTTCATTCTTTTCTTATCAGCATTACAAGGTACAAGGAGCTATGTGCACTATGATAGAAAAGGGTAAAATGGCCAACAAAGATCTTCTTCAAGGTCTTTTATATGTCCATTTACCCAATTAACAGATGCCAACTAAATTATTTTCCTTAGTGACCCAATGACCCAACACCTGTGTGCTGCACTATGGTATTTTCTATCCAATCACTTACTACGACCCAAAAACCCCGAGGAGAAGAACATGAAGAAGAAAGAAGAGGGGACAAGGGACAACACCCTAAATCCTCCACCTTGTCTCCTGTTCTCTAAACTACTTTTTCACCCAGTGATTTAAGAAACTTTCTAATCTACACACTTACACTTTTAGCTTTTTCCATCTAACTTTAACATTTGTTTTCATGTATCACCATGAAAACATGCTCATGAATTTCATATTATATGAAATTCAGTGTTTCTTTGAATCCTAGAACTAAGTATTAGAAACAAGGGCACACACTCTGTATCTCAGATTCCAGCATTTGAGTAGCTGGGACTGGGGTGCATCCGGGGCCTTTGGGCTGTGTGAACACTCCAGATCATTGGTATTTGTGATTTATAACTGAATATACTCTGTCAGCTAAACAGCAATGTCCTTTAGACCTTTTTGAAACAGGATGGATGGGAAGCTGCAGACTCAGAGTGGGCTTGATTTGATGAAACACATGAGGTTAGTGCTTGTCCAGGTGCTCCAGGCTACCTGAGATATCCTCATGCTGGCAGCACCCAAGAATGTCTGGAGAGGCATCCAGAGACAGGTGGGTCACTCCAAGACACCTAAAATGGCACCAGTCACACACTGGACCCTTCCTTTGCTCTGTGTCCAGGTTTATTTCACCACGCCAT